AATAGGGCGGCCATTACTCAGGGCGGAAAGACTGGCCTCCGGCGTCATTTCCCATCTTGCGCCTGCGCCCTGCAGTCTCCACTTCCGCGCCAGGCACGCAGCCAACCACCGCCCTCCTCAGTCATTTAGACACACCAATCAGAGCGCGCCTGGCGGGAAGGGGGCGTTCCCGGAGAGGCTCTTGCCTTGGAGTCTTGGGAGTCCCTGACAGAAGGCCGGGCGCCATGTTGCGTGGCTGTCGGTGCTTACGGCCGCTGTTTGGCTGGGCTGCCCGGGAGGCCGCTGCTGGACGCTGTGGGGGAACGCGGAGGCCTGTGGCGGCCGCGACAGTCCCGCCTCTGCCCTCGCGGGCGGCCTCCTTAGGATGGCGGAGGCTGGGCGCCTTGGGGACTTCGGAGCAGGCGGCGGCGGCGGCAGAAGCTGAGGCTGGAGCGGAGGAGCGAGGCGCGGGAGGACGGCCAGGTAGAGGCCGGGAGCCCTCGCGGCTGAGCCAGCGTGGCTTGGGAGCTGGACTGCGACTCTGGAGACCAGGGTTCGAATCCCCCGCTGGGCAGGTCACACTCTCTCAGCCTCAGGGGAAGAAGGCAATGGCAAACCCTCTGAAGAAAACCCCAGGATAGCTTCACTTGAGGGTCGCCGTAAATCGGAAACGACTTGAAGGCACACAACAAGAGCAGCAAAATACGCAAAACAAGGTGGCAATTCCTAACTGGCTTCACAGTCTCTTAGCTAAGAACTAACATCATCATCATCATCATCATCATTATTATTATTATTAAAACAATAATAACTATTAAATAATAACAAACTATTAAGCAACAACAAACAATAATTATAATAGTACTAAACTGTTTAATAATAATAATAATAATAATAATAATAATAATAATAAGCGATTAAACAATAATAATAAATAAAATAAATAATAAAAACTGTTTAATAATAAACTAAATTACTATTATTTAAACAAATAATAATACTAATAATAAACTTTAATACTAATGAACTATTAACAACAACAAAACAATAATTATAATAATAAACTATTGAACAACAACAATAATAAAATGAATAATAAAGTGTTTAATAATAACTTTTAAACAATAACAACAAACCAATAATTATTATGATAATAAACTATTAAATAATAATGTAAACTATTAAACAACTACAATAATAATGATGATAATAATAATAATTGTGATGATGAGAGTGTGATGGTGATGATTGATAGATAGTGACCCCTTTACTTTCTGGCAGTTCAGTTTACAAAAACTTTGTTCCATATACAAAATTATTTTAAAATATTGTGTTTAAAAATTGCCTTCAGGCCATATGTATAAGGGGCTGTTGTTGCTGTTGTGTACCTTCAAGTCATTTCCAACTTAGGGAGACTCCCGAGTTCAATCCCTGACTTCTTCAGTTAGAGCTGACAGACCTATTGCCAGTTTTTGAGCCAGGGAGAAAGACAATCTTTGGGGGGTTGCCGACTGTCAGAAATAGTGCAAATTGAGTCCACTAAGGGTTAGGGTGAGGGTTAGGGAATCATGGGAACTATTTTATTGTGGCACCAGAGCTCTCTGACAGAGAAGGCTCAATGTCTCAGGAAAAAAACAATTCCCATGATTCCCTAGCACTAACCCTAACCCTAAAAGTGGGCTCAATTTGCACTATTTCTGGCAGTCTGCAACCCCCCCCCCCCCTTTCTCAAGGGAAGGCAGCTTTTTAGGTTTCTGTTTCAGGACCTCTTTATTATTTTATTAATTTATTTATTTCATTTCTATGCCACCTTTTTTCCAAGTCAGCTTACAAGATAAAAACATCTCAAGAACTTACAGCAATTTTTTTTAAAAAAAATTAAAATCATCTAAAATCAACTTTTTGTTCTGCGATATGCAGAGGTTCTCCTTCTCCACCCTTTCTATTGGGAACGTGTAATATTTGGGGCTTCAGAGATTATTGAAATACACCTCCCATCAGTCCTAGCCAGCAGAGCCACTGGGGAGGGATCATGGGAAGTGTAGTCCGGTAACACTTGAAAGGGCCACATGATCCCCATCCTTGTTTTATTCCTTTGTAGCTTTCTTGTCTGCACTGACCAAATCCAAAGACAGTGCAGATGCTTGGTCTTCCTTGCTTTACTTTAAAACCTTTGCCACTTCAGAGAGCACAATGAATAGGCCAGTGGTTGTTGTTGTTGTTGTTGTTGTTGTGTGCTTTCAAGTCATTTCAGGCTTATGGTCACCCTATCACAAGGTTTCCCTGGCAAAATTTGTTCAGAGGAGGCTTGCCTTGCTCTGAGGCTGAGAGAGAGTGACTTGCTCAAGGTTACCCAGTGGGTTTCCATGGCTGAGTGGGTATTTGAACGCTTGTCTCCCAGAGTCGTAATCCAGCACTCAAACCACTACACCTTGCTGAACAGGTTGGTGCCAATGGGCAATGCCAAAATAGGAAGCCATATACCTTCTTCTGTGGCTCTTCTTCTGCCCACTGTTTGGAAGGCAGTGATTACCAGGTTCTCATGCCTTGAGAATTTCACCAACTTATTTCTTTATATTGCCCCCACCTTTTAATTTAAAATCTATTTATTTCCATTGGTACATTAAAAAGAGAAAGAAAATATAAAATTCCTTGATATACAAATTATTTTGATTTTGGCACACATGCATACATACATACTCTTATAGCCTATTTTATTTTACATTATGTCTACCAGTCATATCCCATTTGTCAATTCCTGAGGCATTTGCCAAGTAATTTACCTTGCTTTGCTATTAAGACTATCTCGCTTATATCATCTTTTTGTGTTTAATGTGCACTTCTATGTATATCTTTATTATCATTTTAAATTAAATTTACATCTCTTTCTTCTTACCTATGTTCAAAGACAACATAGGTATATTGGTCCTCTCCTAAAGGAGCAGAAGTGGGCTGGGATGGTTGTTTGTGGAGATGTGAATCTGTGTGTTTGCGGCTAGTGAACCTGAGTAGAAGCAGAACAGTTGTCGACATAAATAGAGATGTCCTGGCCATTTCACAGGAGAGATTCTTCTTTCGGTGGAGCTTGACAACCAATTTACCGTATTTTT